ACAAATTCTTTTAACGAATCAAAACACGAATAAGCTGCTGTAAAACGTACCTCATCATAATGTAACTAGACGATTTTTGCAGGTTAGGTATTGAACTTTAGCTTCGAAAAGTAAAATAAAACCAACAAAGTATTGGTATGACAAATTGCTTTATTAGCAATACAGTCTAAATAAAAAATTTCTCTTGAACTTACAATCTGACAACACATCTGCTCTTTTATTTCGAAACTTAAGATCAAACTAAACAGGGCCTCTACTATACCTTCAGGACTAACATATTGTTAGGGTTTGCCAGTACACCCTACAACATTCAAAGTGGTGAAGCGGACTAGTTACATTTACAGGGGTTTACCCGTTACCGTTTTATTTATGTTATGAGCACCTCGTATAAATAACTTGGGTGCACAACTTTGATTAATAAACTGGCGTAACTTGCCACTCCAAATATACCGCAATGAAACATTTTGCACCTTGGACTCCAACGCTTTAGTGGTAACCTTAATCCGATCATACAATGACTCGCACATATTCACGTCGTACGTATTGAAAAACTAACTTGCACTGTTCACGGTTGAAAATTATCAGCCGTCCATTAGTTTTCGGGTCCGTTAACTCCCCCCCCCCCCCCGCACTGAGAGATTTAATAGTCGTATTATTTTTAAATGAATGCGCTCATGCGCTCATATGCGCCACCGATAATAACTCATGCGCCATTATCGTTTTTTAGAAATCCGAAAAAACCATTCCCCCCCCCCAGTACGTATTTTGTCCCTTGTAACTAGATCACCTGATACATTTGGTTATGCGCTCAATTGCGCCACTTGAATTAAAGCTAGCTCCATTACGGTTAAGCCGTGACAAATTTTCAAAAAGTGGGGGGGCCAACTTAACGTTTTTAAAAGTTACTTTTTTTTAACATCTTTTCATACGAAATTGTACTCTCAGGTATGCGCTAAAATGCGCCGTAAAAAGATATCTTTGCGCCATTATTGTTTTTTGGTTATCCTTAAATATATTTGGGAGGGGCCAAGTGAACGGAACCCCCCATAACGCATTTTGCTACCGGTATTTGTGCCACTCGATACACCTGGTTATGCGCTCAATTGCGCCACTTGAATTAAAGCTAGCGCCATTACGGTTAAGCGATTAAAAAAATTACGTACGGGGGGGGGGGGGCTACGTTCACTTGGCCCCAAATGTTTTTTCGGATTTCTAAAAAACGATAATGGCGCAAGTTAACAGTTTTCATTACACGAGGAAGTTTTCTTTCTGCATAAACCAGTCACGTATTATTAATTTAAGTATAATGGGAACTCGTAACAAATTTAGAAGGGACCCACGTCAATAAACTCGTCAAAATGGAGGCACAGTTTTTCTAGTACAAAAGCGTTTTGGCTTTCAAATTAATAGAAACGTTGCGCTATGTAAAATGTAGCATTTTAGTTACATAGATTCACCTTTAGCGCTTGGTGAAGAATGCCGCTTTTCCACCAAATTTTTCATAGTCTATTCGCCGATCTGAAAAACAGAAACGGCCCCCTAGCGGACAGTATCCCTCTCATGCTCCCTAACGACGGTTTTTAGAATCGAAAACACTGTAGGGTTTCGACTCTTATGAGCTTGAACACTCGTTTCTTATCTTAACGTGCTTTATTTTCTCGAGTATAAGGTCTGTTCTTTTTCTTTATGAGACGGTGCATGTATAAAATTTCCTATCCTGGCCACTTTTGTAAAATCGAAAAAATCTTCGAGGTCCAAAGCTGCCACCTATTCCAGTGGCCCAATGTACCCTGTGCTCTTGGTACATCACTCTCTTTTGATTTTATTACCATTTGTTGGCCCCTGAAAGATAGTAATTAAAGTTTGAGATACGCAAGTTCTACAATTTTGTTATTGTTTACGACACAGACACTACAAAATACGTGAATCCAGCTGTTTTAAAGTCTCCAAAACTGTGTTTTATAACACATACTTATTTTGAAAATTGTAAGTGAAAGAAAGAGCAAAACAGCTCTTGATGTGAAACACCGCGTTCTTTTGCACATGTCGCTAGTAGGGAGAGGTCAGCTCGCCCCTCCACTTTTTATAACGTCACACCTGCGGCACTGTGATCGGCTGCGCCATTTTGTGACCGTAAATTTGAATTTGTGTGGGAGATTTAAATTTTTGAATTTGTGGATGGTAGCCATTTTGTTGTAAATTTGAATGTGTATGGGAGATTTGAATTTCTGGATGTCTGCCATTTTGTTGCACTAGACTTGAATTTCTGTGAGGGATTGGCGCCACCTAGTGGCGGTTTTACAAGAATCGGAAATTATAGTTTTCTGTAATTAGCATCTAGTGAATGCATGAAATAGTGTCGTGGTAGTAAATTCGAAATTAAATGTATAGGGAGTTGTTAAAGATATATATAGTGAAATTTAAATATATAGGGTGTAATGATAGTAATATACAGGGTATTTGTGATCGATGTTTTTGTGCGTTTGCCAATAGGTCGTTATCTGGACGGCCATTTTGTTTCGATGGTATCGAATTGAATTGTGTGTCGGTCTCTTTGGAATACAGGGTGTAATGATAGTTATATATAGGGTGTTCATATGTTTGACCATTTCAGATGTAAATACCTTGACAAAGTCACGCGTAAATTTGTTACTAAGTCATCATAAACATTAAAACCGTAAATGCCGCAAACATTCGAGTGGTAATCTTGGAGAATTGTATCGCTGTAACGAATGCGTATAGATTCTTTTGCAAGAAACGAAGATGATGCAAATGTTTCGTCGACGGTAAAAAAAGAGTGGAGCGATGTCGGCAATATTACAGAACATACGAGAGAAGAAAAAAGTACATATGGTATGTGAACAAAAACCTCTCTCGTGATTAGGGAGAGTTTTCGGTTTTAACGCCGCCGAAGATTACTGATGAGGATTGAACATCAGCCTCTCTGTCCTGAAGAATATATGGCATATTTCCTAATTACAAATGAGGGTCCAGATTTTCCGGTTTCTCTGCTTAAAATGATTAATTTTAAACATTATGTAATTAGAATTTTTGTCTAATGATCGAAGAAGCGAAGAATTTGAATTTGTGCCGAGGATTTGAATTTTTGAATAACATAATAACCCAATCTCAAGACGAAAATATGGAAGAAAAAACTAGCGCAATACCGGGCGTAGGTAATTTTTATACGAACAAAATTACAAGTTGCTTGACTTACATTCATTGTCGACTGTGATATATAGTTACGTTGATAAATATTTAGAGAGCCGTACGTCCCTTTACGGTGTCTTTATTCGTTTTCACGATAGTAAACTACGGGAATGGCAGTATAACAGGTCAAATAAAACGCGAAATAGTTATTGGTACGGCAACGAACCCGATTTAATTATAGCATTTGCAATTGAACAGAGTGACAAGTAATTAACAATGTAATTAAGAAATTCAAATTTAAAACAAAATGGTTCACAACCTAAAATTCAAATTTCCCGCGAAAATTCAAATTTACAGCCACAAAATGGCGTAGACAATCACAGCACGGAACTGTGACGTCATAAAAAAGTGGAGGGGCGAGCTGACCTCTCCCTACTGTCTCCTTATCTATCTCGCTTTTGAATTAAACTAATGCGAATACATTTTACCTACAATGTTTGTCTAAATTAAATTATTTACGAAATTAGAAGGGATGGCCACAAATTAATGAACCCGACTCTGTCATTACTCACTACGAATTATGAAATAAGCGCAAAACTCGTCACTTAACAATTCGTCTTAAAAAAGCAAATTAAATTTTAAAATAGGCATAACAGCACTATTTTGGAGGACAAACTTTTGTCGGCAACAATAGAAATGCACGTCTTGTCTACTAATTAGTGAATTATACGCGTTAACCTCCTCGGTATAATTATAATTGGGTTCACAAGTATTCCAATTTATAGTCACATTACTTGTACCTTTCAGTAGGCTTTAGCTGTTGCGCTCAATTAGTGGACACATCCTTAGTATACGTTTCAAAGCTCAAACTACAAATCCTTAAGCTGGTAGAGAAACACGCGAGATGGGAGGAAAGTACCGGAACAATACAAAAAATATTGTGTAACTGACTGAAAATATTTTACTCTCATTTTGAATCTTGCATAAAGAACTACGAAATAAAATAATGTTTTTATTCAGCTCTCCCTAATTGCAAATCCTTTACCCCTCGTGTATAAATGAACGTGAACACAGTTGTTTTGTTGACATACCTTGGTTTGTACATATAATCAATAAATAGGACCGCGTAGAGCAATATTTTAGCAACGTCGACTTTCAACTAAACTTGCTGCCGTCATGTTGACACGTTCATTAATTAGGCGACACTGCGACGAATAGATGCGTGATTGTACCAGGTGGAAATGAGTTTTACTTTGAAATAACAATGCATCTTTCAGATAAAGGACGCGCAAAATCATCAAATCCAATTGTCTTGATTTACTAGTGACGGAGTACATATAAGAACTGTGGAGGTCTGTGTTTTTTGTTCGTAATCCTTAATGCGACGTGAGAGTCGCAAAGTAAACTCCGTAAATCCTCGCATGCGTGGCTAGCGCTGCTTTGTCCATATGTCACGTCTAAGGCGTCGTCATTGTTTTATTTTATTCGGATAACTTGTACATTCAGTATTTCGTCTTTGCTCATAAAAACAGCAATTACGTTAAAATAACGCGCATAAATTCTTGTCGCGCTAGAAACAGCTTAAGACTCTGGAATGCACGCTCCCTAGAGCACACATGTCAATCCTGACTGGCCTCAACCGCAACGGGATTACAACTTCTGCCCCGCTAAGCTAGCATACAGGTCGCGCTCATCCGTAGAGATCGCTTATTCCGACCGCGTCTTCTTTGCCCTATATATTATGTGTACGTGAAGAGTGCCTCATTTTTTACGATAAAAGAAAATAAAAAATGATTTTATCGTTGCCTAGAATTTTTTCGTTAAATTGACGCTTTTTATATACTTTTCAGTTGCACCAGTTTGTCGAGATTCTGAAATTTCCGTAATCGGAGCTTCATTAGATGAAGTGATACGTGTCAGATGCCATGTGGCTGCGGATCCAAGCGAAGTTACTTTCGTATGGCAGTTCAATAATAGCGGCGAAAGCTTCGATGTGTCACCTGCACGTTTCACAACCACCAGTGGTAACATGAGCGAACTGAAGTATACTCCGGCGTCCCAAAGAGACTATGGCACCCTCACATGTTGGGGACAGAATCCTATCGGAAGACAATCGGAACCTTGCATCTTTCAAATTGTACCTGCAGGTATTTCATTTTTTTAAACAAGTTGCTTCTAATTATTAAACCACATTTGCATTTCAACAAGAGATACTTGGTTACCAGTTGCGATGCGTTTAATTAAAGTTGAAGCGCTTATAGCTAGAGTTAATCAATGGCTCTACAACTTCTCAGGTATTAATTTGCGCTTACAACAATCGACGTGCATTTTGTGTATTAAGTTTATGTAATCACTACTTACACCGCACAAATTAATCGTTGTTCAGAAATTTGCTCGGTACCGAAACATTGATTACCTACCCTTGGGGTTGCAAAATTGGTATTGATATTTTCGACACAAAACCTTTTGTTTACATAAATCGATACGGTAAATACCTACTTGTTCACGGATAAAATGTCTTGTCATTACGTGTTAAACGCATACATCGTGTAACACAGAGAGTATGTATGCAAGTACCTAAACAAGTGCAGTTGTGGGCAAACGAAACTAATTTTTTTTACAAATAAATGATTTGTCGCCGCCCCATAACATATTTCCATACAACAATAAGCAACAAATATGCGATATGCAAAGAACTACAGGCACATGCGCAACCATTTTAGCCAGGGTTTAGCTTATAATTGCAAAAGAAGATCAGGAGAAGACTGCATTTACGTTTGGATCTGGATTATGGCGTTTTACAGTCATGCCGTTTGGATTGTGCAACGCACTCGCGACATTTGAACGTCTCGTGGAAACTGTGCTAAAGGGCTATCGTGGAAGATTTATTTAGTGTCTCCCTGAACGACATCATTGTGACGAAAAAGTTCTTCGAAGGTCATATGAAATCTGCGAGAGTCCTACAAAGGCTTCGCTCGGCCAATCCAAAACTTTCTCCGAAGAAATTTCATATTTTCCAGCGTGAATACCGACGTGCGACGATTTGTGGCGCGTTTTGCCACAATTGCTAAACCTCTGACCCGCCTTATTGAAGATGCCAACGGTTTTGATTGGTCAGATGAATGTTCAGTTGCTTTTCAGAAATTAAAAAGGCGTCGATGCTGGTTCAAACGCGGCGTTCTGTTTGGATGCCAACATCAGTAACGTCGCATTTGGAGATGTTTTTGAGTTTTTCCCAAAAACAAGATGGAGAAGAAAGAGAAAGTTGTTGGATAATTTAGTTAAGGTGCTTTCTTAGGGTGGAAACATAGGGGAGCAAGTCATCTCGCCATTCACTGCACCACGCATCGCGCTGTTCTTTTCGCTTCGCATTTTGCAGGGATTTGGTAAAACATAGTCAAGCTGGGAAACTGTTGAAACACCTCACACACACTATACAGGGTGCCCATTATGTATGGAATATAGTATATATCTCTGTAAATATCGAATGTATACAAAATTTTTCTATATGTAAGTTGTTTAACATTTTATTTCCCATAATAAGGCAGCATTCAGTTGTTTTTATTTCAGAAAACAAATGAGTAACGAAAAACAATTGAATTTTTTTATATGGCAGTTCACCTTTTCATTAGGCTCATTTGATAGAGATTTTTTTCTCTTTTCGATTATATAACACATTGGTACCATAATTTTAATTTTAAAATATTTAATTTATTGTCCCTCTTGTTCTAGGCCCTCAACAGGCTTACGGCCGATTACAGAGTGACCCGAATAATGCTTTTTTAGAGGTTCCCCTCTGTATAATACAAGAAAATGTTTCAAAAATTATAATCACATCAATAACATTAATCTTAATATCCTACATCAAAATAAAACTAATGAATGTGTACTTTTGTTACCATTTTTTTGAAAAATTTTCTTGTATTACGGTACTAACATGTTATATCATCGAAAAGAGAAAATACGTATCTATCAAATGAGCCCTAAATAAAATGTTAAACAACTTACATTGAGAAAAATGTTGTATACATTCGATATTTACCGAGATATGTACCAGGTGACCCAATAAGACTGTTCCTCGGCCATATCTCGGGAACCGTTCGTCGTATGACTTAGGAGTAAAAAAAATTATTGAGTAAATCGGTCATGAAGAATCGCTGGAAAATATTTTCAAGTTCTAAAAATGACCACCAGAGGGCGTAACTGCCATCTTAAATTTTAATTTTGCATTTTCTTTAAATTACGCATCATAAACTAAAAAAAATTTTCACACTTTTAAAGAAAACCAGTTCATTTCGTAAAAAAAACTCAGTTATTTCAAAAACAAAGATTGTGTGGGGCGTTCAATTGTATTTGTAATAACCTGCTTAAACTTCTTAACGGTTTGATCGATTTTAACAAATTTGGTATCGTTAAAGAGCATTCCTTGGGCAAATTGGGGTAATTTAGTTGAATCCTTCTCCGCCAGGGGGCTAGTTTTGACGCCATAACCCAAAATCCTAAAAAAATCTAAAAAATCAAATGGAATGATATGACTTTTTTATGAAAAAGTAGTCAAATCACATCCAAAGAGGCCAGTGAAACCCGTTTTTCAAAATCTCGTTCCTAACCTCAAATATTGGGAAAATGAGATTAATGGATCTTTGAAGGCCAAGGATCGTGCGGTAAATTTCCTAAAACTACTAAAAATTTAGCTACAAAATGAATAGAATGTTAAAGAGGCAATTGTGAATCTAAATAATATAATTGTTAGCGTGTGGTTAATATTATAGGTACGTATGTACATGTATTTGTTTTATAAAATGTAATTTGTTTGTTAATATTATAGCGGAAAACCATCTATAAATAAAACAACATAAATATATAAATCACTAAAAAAAATATATCAGAACATTCACGTTCCGCCAAAGGGACTAAACGCATCCTGAACTTATTAAGTCACTTTAATATTATAGGTGTAATCGAGGGTATATTATAGTTAGTTTTCTGAATTATTTTTATGATATGGTCTGCGGCTCTAAGAAGCCCACGAAAGGAAAAATAAAGTGATCTAATTGCGACCCAGGTGTTCAAAATGGCCTCAGTTATTTTGGATCATCTGAAGACGCTGATGAGTTGAACAGCCAGCTCGTGGAATGTTCAAGATGGCATTCCTAATTCTTGCAATCATATCCTCGCGGGAAGTTGGCCTGCAAAAACTATATCCTTACTTAATCCTTCCCCAGAGATAAAAATCAATGCAGGTTAAATCGGGAGACCTAAAAACATTCATTCAGTTTTAATGTGTGCGCAATTGCAATTGTTATTGAACAGAAACATTCCAAAAGGCAACATCTAAAGATTCTTGTGTTAAATACTTGCCTTGGAGGTCAAGGGAATAGGCTTCCTCTTCCGATCCAGCGGTCAGGGAAGGTGGCATCTAAACACTGGCGAACAGCAAGGGCATCATGGGCTGGACAACCATCATGCTGGCGGATGTCCAGCGGAATATCTTCCATTAAAATTGGAAGAACATTTTCTAAGCTTTTTACACCCTGGATGAATTTGAGGATCATGTGAAACTTACAAACATGTTAAATGTAAGTTGGTAGTGTGATTTAGTGTTAATGTATTATTGTTTGTTTGTTCTATTTTTGACTTATGTTATATACACTTTTACATGTAAACTTTTTTTGACAATTATAAGTGCTAACATAAACATAAATAAATAAATAAAATAAACACCACCAACCATTTACCTATATCAATTTAAGAATTTTTATTAATTAATCTCATTTTCCCAATATTTGAGGTTAGGAACGAGATATTGAAAAACGGTTTTCACTGGCCTCTTTGGATGTTATTTGGCTACTTTTTCATAAAGAAAAAATCATATTCCATTTGATTTTTTTAGGATTTTGGGTCAAAACTACCCCCTGGCGGAGAAGGATTCAACTAAATGATTTAATTATCGATATACTGATTCTTATTGCCCAAGGAATGCTATTTTCAATGATACCAAATTGTTAAAATCGGTCAAACCGTTCAGAAGTTGAAGCAGGTTATTGCAAAAACAATTGAACGCCCCACACCATCTTCGTTTTTGAAATAACTGAGTTTTTTTTACGAAAATGATAAACTTTTTTAGTTTATTATGCGAAATTTAATTTTAAAATTTAAGATTGCAGTTATGCCCTCTGGTGGTCATTTTTAGAACTTGAAAATATTTTCCAGCGATTCTTCATGACCGATTTACCCAATAATTTTGTTTACCCCTAAGTCACACGACGAACGGTTCCCGAGATCTGGCCGAGGTACAGTCTTATTGGACCACTCGGTACTATATTCCACACATAATGGGCACCCTGTATACTAACAAGACATTCTACAACCTTGAGACAGCCAATCACGAAGCGAGTTTCAAGCAACTGCATCTTCAAAAACAAATAATTTTGTTATGGGAAGAACATCGAGGTGTGCGGATTTTCTTTCCTGTATTTCTTTTTATGACGACGTGAATGGCGAGATAACTAGACTATGTTCCTACTCTTAGCCGAAACGGTGGCTGGAAAATCCGTCGAGCACTTTTATAAATCCCTGTACGGAAGAAACTCGACTTGAAGAACAGATTATGCGGCCTTAGATGGCTACTAAATTTCAAACGGAATGCTGTTGCATTGTCACGCCGGATTTCACGCAGTATAGTAGAGCGGAAGTAAGATTGCACTGGAGTGTAAAGCAACGTTGGTGGACGATTCTTGGCAGCCAGCCGGTTTGGCATCTAAATAAGAAAGACCCAGATTTCAAACCGACTTGCGCGGCCAGTAAGGCCCTGGTCCTACCAAAGCGCGCGGCGCGGCAGCGACACGATGTAGCGACCATGTATCTTTTGTGTTTAATCTATGGTTTGTATACACCGCTTCCTTTTTGCCGAGCGACTCGACATGTCGGTTTTGAAGCGACACTCAAGCTGTGTGGCGGTGGTATTTTGCGTTTTTAATGAGGAATAGGAAAATTAATATGGCACAACAGAGCTCCTTATCAGCAACAAACATTTTATTTTCTGTAAACGCATAATTTAATGCTCTTTAGAAGAGAGTCAAATTTTCTGTAGGATACGTACTTTTCGAGTTATAAGCGAAATGTTCAAAAAAGTGCAAAAATTTTGCGCTTTTTAGGCTCTCTAATCTGACGCACAACCTAGAAACCGTCGCAAACTCATATACCCGTTATTGAAGACCCTTAAAGGGGTTAAAACGATTTCGAGCTCTCGAGCAATTCCTAACCAACAAATTCAGGTACGAGCACATCCACATCTTATATGGTAGAACCCTTACCAGAAAGCCAAGGATTCCGATATATCCTCACCTGCATTTGACAGATAGACTGGATGCACCGAAGCCATCCCCTTAAGCAACATCGAAACCGAAACAGTTGCGCAAGAATTCGTAAGCAGCTGGAGTTTCGGCGTTCCCCTACACGTCACAGCCGATCAGGAATGTCAGTTCGAGGCCGATCTATTCCAAAACCTAGCCAAACTCTTTCAAACGCATTCGAACGACAGCGTACTATCCGCAGGCAAACGGAATGGTAGAGCGTTTTCATAGACAACTCAAAAATGCCCTCCGTTGCCACAAGTCGAAATGGATGCAAGCACTACCAATAGCCCTATTAGGGATACGAAACGCATTGAAAGAAGACATCCAAGCTGCCGCATCGGAGATGGTGGACGGACAAGGGGAATGTTCGAAAAACGGTCAACCGAGACCAGCATGGAACCAGAAACATTCGTCACACAAACCCGAAACCACACACATGCAGGAAACAAGCTAGCCCCCCACCCGCAGGAAATTAACACGAAAATGCCAGTGTTGGACTTGCTTCGTCCGCTCATCAATAACTTTGATATTGATGGCAGTTTTTATCTATACAAATACCATGAAATAAATTAAAAATTTTTTTAGTACACTCTTTGTAGCGTAAAGTGTGCCGTTTTTATGAAGCTGAAAATTTTATAGTCCTTATCGGAAGTTTTCTTACTCAAAGTGAAGCCGTTGTAAAAATACTCATTAAATTTTTTATTCCTGTTGTAGCGTTAAATTTGCAAATATTATTCAGATTTTAAATGATTTATAGTAATCAATTATAGCAGGGATTTGTACGCATCAACTGAAATCGCGTTACATTTATTATCTATACAGTTATTATGAATTGGTACATTGCTTCATTGTAGTAATTAATCCGCGGTGCGCTATATACATAAGGGGTATTAATTACAATATTTTAGTTAGGTATTGATTTGGTAGGAATATTACAATCATGCATTATGTAGAAATTCCAATTTGACTGTAATACTCCAAAAATGAGCGTTAAATACTCCCGAGAATAGTCTTTAGATCTTGTTACATACATAGTTAGTCATAACTTATTGGCATAAATTATGCTTGTACTTAAAATGTTTTACATTAACTTTGCAGCAAAGCCGAGTCCCTTGAGCAATTGTACTCTCCGAACAGCCACTAATCATAGCACGGATGCTCTTGAGGTTGAATGTCGGGCAGGTTACGACGGAGGACTTCCCCAGAGGTTTGTCTTGGAAGCTTACGACTCATATACGATGCGTTTGCGGTTTAACGTTAGCAGCAGCAACACCGAGATGCCATTTTTCCGTTTCGAACTTTCCGAGTTATTAACATCTAATGGTGAGGGGATTCCGCCGTCATTAAGGGTCGTGGTCTACGCCGAAAATGCGAAAGGACGTAGCGAAAAAGTTGTTCTCGAAGATATCACCCTTAACGACGCCGAAAAGCGTACAGGTTAGTAGACTATTTTGCGCTAACAAAAATGTAACTCCCTAAAGACGAGCGAGATTAATTAATTTTTACAATGATTAAGTTAACTTTAGGCTGAATAATAAATTAGTTCCCCAAAGAAACTCTAATTAAATAGAGCCTAAATTTGCTTCGTAAAATCCTCACGTATTGTATATGAACTGCAAACGTAAAACTTTAAATTGCACCACCTTGCCATGTGCATTACGAATTTATAAGAAAATCAGAATTCCAGTCGAGGTGTATAATCTGCAACATTATTCTTCTGGATTCGAGAAAGTATCTCTTATTCATATATTTACTTATTTATGGAACATAAACAATTTTAGCGGTGATTTCCGAGACCTATCTTCGTTAATTACGAAAGTTCCTTTCAAATTCGCATAATCGAATTTTATGAAGCATGAAAATTTTAAAGTTAGGAAATTGAAACGGAAATCCATTACATTTCCTTGATACACTTATTACGGACGATAATCCTTTAAAAGGAAGATATAGAAGTTCTATATCGATTCAGATAGTTTGTACTTTTCTCTCGATTGTTCGAGAAGCACAACGATAATCCACCCTGACGAGAACTATTTGAAGGCACCGAAATAAATTGAGCTCGGTATTGAAAGTCGAATTTGAAAAATATAGTTGTTTATTAAATTACTCTTCCGGATCTACAGTTCTTATTGAGTTAGATCAAAGTGTAAAAGGCTGATGGGAGGCGAGAGCAATTATAATTGTAATGAAAGAGTGCTAATTAACAACTGTTGTTAAAATAGAGTTATTTGCATTAGTAAATTACTGGGGCGATAACACCAAAGTTTTTATGCGCTGGATGGAAACACGTAATGCGGTTATTTACCAGATCCATAACGTACTTTAGTTTATAGTTGTCAAGTTCTTTTTCTACGACTGCTTTGAACGCTTATTAACTTTAATTACTGAACACACGCTGTATAAAAGTAGAGCTAGATTAATCATTCTTTACTATTTCCTGAAGAAATTGTGACATAAATGATAGTTTCAAGGTGAAGTTCAAAGGTATTACATAATTCATGGAAATTTTTTAAGTTAAAAACCTCAAGACAGCCGTCTGCTATTAGTAACTTGAAGATTGAAATAATGCGCAATATAAACTATGCAGGGATAGCAAAAACCTTTCACCGAAAACCACTGATAATGGAAAGGGAGAAGTTTCGTTTTGTTTAAAGTCTATCAAAAACTGTAGTCTTCTTTGAGCTACAGAGGGCTGTTGCTGTTCTATTAAAAATAATCAATTTAAAATTGTGCGATTCCGCTACAGGAATTCAGTTTCTTCAAACTGCGAAACAACGCGCTGACGGATATTTTTACGCCATCAAATCGTTGAAAACTGTTGTGTAAGGAACGGAGTGTAACATGCAAAATCCGAGTACATTCACTGGTTCTAGTAGTCGACCTATTGAATGAAAGCAAATATTCTCTGAGAGCATAAAAGTATTTTACCTGTGACGGGTCTGTGGAATGAACGAATAGCCAGATGTTTAATTCCAAACAAACTACTTTAATTAAAAAGTACAATTAGGAAATAGTAATTCCATTTCTTTTGTAGAAACTAGAACAATAATTCAGCAATTACACCTAATGTTGACTGAGCTAGTTACCGATCTGCAATTGACAGGTTGCAAATGTATGCCAATTATTGTATTATTTCGTATATCAACGGTACAGAATCTAGAAATAAACACTATTGATGTAAAAAGCCCTGGGGTTCTAGGCCGAACATTTTGAAAGGCGAGGCCGCAATACGGTTTCTTTTAGATATTTTTACGTAGTGTAGTAGCGTACGAAAAAAAAGTGTTTGGACCACCGCTTCTGAGATTCGACCAAATGTTGGTTTTTTTTATATCTTAACGTCAATTATTTGCATTCATTTTCCTGATTACAATACGAAAACAAAAACCTAGCCAGCTCTTTCCCTTTAGTTATTATCACGGCACAAAACTTCTTCCCAACACAGAGGAGAGATTCGACTCTGCTCTCAGTTAAGCTATTAACTTCTAACAGATAGTGGGTCAAATCAAATACCTTACACTCCAAACAGAACTGCAAAATCTTGAATAATTAAAATTGACCTTGTGCAAACCTCCAATAAAAACACAAATGAAACGTAGTACTGCTCTCAACGGGGCAAGAGGCTGGTTTAAATTCTTCAACGAGACTTAATTCTACGTAGACTGTGGCTAAAAGCGATTAAAACTTCAACGGAACGTAGTTCCGCGCTGAACTTGGCCAAAAGCAACGTTCTTCCTCTTAACGTCGTATTTAAAGCGAAAACCCTTTTCCGAAAATCTAAATGATAACAACCACAGTTGACAACAAAGACTATCTCCTCAACGTACGTTAATAGACTAAAATAATAGAGGTCGAATAATTAATTAACTTCAATTCTAGGAAAAATAAAAATTCATCTCTTTTAACTACACAGAAAAGGCGATAAATCACATCCATATGTCAATTAAATTAAGCATTTACAATTGATAACAGATAAAAGTAAACAAAATTCCCGGAAATTTCTACGTTAAATAAAATAAAGAGGTAAACAAAAACAACCTTGACCGCTTTCTCGTATGATATAATAATTTCCATGCTGTTACATAGACCAACGACAAATTACTAATTACAAAAGTTAATTACGTAAGAAGGCCCTTGTCCATCTTAATTAAGATGTCCGTCCGAAAATTTCATCCTGCCAAACGAAATAAACCCAACAACATTATGTTATATTTTTCAAAATCAAAATCTCCATGAATCCATGGCCTACTATTTAGAAAACCTAAAAAATGGGTTTTTATTTATAGTTCAAGGCTAAAATAAAAAAATAAAGGTTGTGATACATCAACGTAATCAGGAGAAAAGAGCTGCAAAAAAATTGACGGTAGGATATACATGGCGTTGCATTTAAAAAAACCAACTTTGGGCCCAATCTCGTAAACGGTGGTCCAAATATTTGTTTTTAGTACGCCTCTGGATCGTAAAAATATCTAAAAATGGACAGTTTTTACCTTTTTTCTATCTTACATGGGTAGTCAGATACGGTATCATCTCAAAAGGCTATTGCATGTTTGCCGGTGTGACGTCACGAAGAAGTGTATGGTTGAAGTCAACTGAATTTTTTACCAGTAGCGGCGATGCCGACTTGTTTTCAGGGTGTCATTGTGGGTGGAAACGTTATCCAAATAGAATTTTAAAACCCAGGGAGTCGCGGTGAACACGTTTCTTTATTAAGAAAATGTCTGGCCCCACACAATGCGCTCGTGCTGTCATGGCAACGGCATTTCCTAATCGCAGTCCATATATTCCGAGTTGAAGCTGTCGGCACCAATATGGATGATGAGGTCCGAAACTTGATCTAAAACGCCGCACTGGGTGTCGTATTGGTCTATAACGATCCCCGTGTGCCTAACGACAGAATGCCAGCGTTGTGCCAGCTCTTATAGGCTCACATACGTGATTAATGATTATCATAATGGGTTTACCAAAAATTAAATGGTTACATGCAAATATGTGTCCTGTTACTTGCGCCCAAATCAGTTCTATGGCATTAAACTGGCAGTGGTAAGGCGGCAAGCGTAAAACTTCGTGGCCGTGCTCGCGCAAGTACTCATCCACTTTGTACAGCTTGACCGGTGCATGTGCTCGTACCATGGCACGTAGCTCCGGTTTGAACATGACTCCGGAAGGGCGGAGCCTCAACGCCGTGTCTCAGCACCGTGCGGACTGAAATTTCCAAATCAGTTTGCCGCGCACTGTATTTTAATAATAAGGTAATGTGGAACTAGCCTACAAGTATTGAAAATTGCACATTTGCCTCTTGAAAGCAATTCAGTCGGCGAAGAGGACCTTCATCGTCTTGCTCGGGACGAAAATAGGCAGCTAGATTCAGAAATAACTGCCTATTACTCTCGTATAATCGTTTGAACGCCTGACGTCATACCGGGAAACATTCACTGGTCAGACCTTACCGTTCTTTCAACCAATTCACCATTCTACGTCATCAATTTAGCGCTGCCGCGAACTCTTTGAACCGTTGGAACTACTTTAAATCATGTACCTACTGGTCTTGTAGTTCATTTGCACTATTGCATTATAATTCCCTCTCGCGGTGAGCTTCATGCTCTGCTATAATGAGGTCCACCGCTGCTGGATGCTTAGCTCGCGTAACGAATCCCTGGATAGTTTCTCAGACTGGCTTCTCCCCCAACTCTTATAAGCAGTTCTTTGGCTACGTAAGCAAGATTCTTGTAAAGAGTAGATCGCACTATCCCTAATCTCGTCTAAAACCATACCATTCATTATGGTGGACTTCCCTTACCGCAACTTCGAAGCCAGTCCACTCTTCTTCGGCCTTGATTCTGTCCCATCGAAATGTACTGTATGTAACAATACAACGACCGATGAGATGTAATGTGGTAAGTCCATATCCAGATGGCTGCTGAACAGTAAGACGTAGTCTCATTGGTTCAATAGGATGGTTAGTCCAATGGTTTGTAATATGTGGAATGTTTGCATCTGACACGCCCAACCCGAAAAAAGTGTGCAACATCTCAGGATCTTGCGTCAAGGTCTAGATGCCGGATCCCTAGGTCAGAGGTAATTCCATCAATCATTTTATTAGCAAAGGCCTGTGTCAGGTTTCCCTCTTTAAAGTCGCAACATATACAGATACTATGACTAAAGATCATTAAATGAGCGTTATCAGAGGTACCGTAATGGGATTGGCATTGTTGTGATGACTATATCAGCTACTTGCAATGATACATGCGAGGGAAATACATCATTCCGTGTTATATATGTCGGTTGTTTTGGTTGCTTAGCAGTGTTACTTAGTTACATATTTATTATTTTTCAATTAGATTGTCATTAGAGATTCTGCTCTGTTCGAAATAAATAAATTGAATAAATTTATGTACAATTGAGGTACCACGAACCCAAAACATACAATACAAAGATTA